GAAATCTTTATTTTGTTCCAAATACTAAAACTAATCACTGTTTTAATTTTCTAATGCAGTACGGAACTGTTCATTATCGGCATTTTAATGCATCATCGGAACTGTTTCTCCGTTCTGTAAGCATGCGCTGTATTACTTTACACAGGTAGTTTTTAGCGACGTAAATCTGCCCAGAATTTCGCGAGAAGTGACCCTTCTTGAAATGATTATTTGTTCAAGTCCCTTCTTGAATGAATTTGCGAGGTGAAGCCCATTTTCCCCACCTACATCGTTGATCGTTCTGCGTATTGAAGCTCCATGTGAGAACCTCTGCCATAGGGCATAGGCTATCCAATCTCTGAAGCTGTAATATCACTTCTGAAGTCCATACAAAGTACTTCTCGGACAAGCCCACGGAAAAGTGGCCGCGTTTGCGTGAACCCGAGAAAAAGACTGATTGATGCGAAGAGGCTAAATGACCAGTTAATAAAGGACCCGAGGCCAAAACAGCGAACGAAAGCGCGGAAAAACGCGCGGGGATTTCGCGTGCCAGATGTCAGTCGACGTGGCTTTTACCGCCTTTCCCCCCACGCCGACGGGGGGAGTTATCCGCAATTTTCGCCGCTTCCTTTTTCAAATCCTTTCCGCGAAAGTGTCCATGCAATGGCAGGTAAATTGATCGAGGTTCATCTCATTGCATGTCCTGGACGCGTGTGTTCCTCGTCTCGTGCGGGACAAGAAAACAACCTAGCTTAAGCCGGATTTTCAGAGACGCCGGGAATATAAAAGTTCCTTGCGATCCATAAACCTCTACCGAACCTCACAAGCAACCCTTTGGCCATTTGTGCGAATTTGAAACGCGCTCGCAAAAAAAATTATCTTGTGAAGCTGTCAAGGAAATGGCACACTTGTCCCAAGAAATGTTATCTCGTTCTTCCGCCACGTGCCGAACCGCTGGTAAAATTAAATTTGCCATGCTGAAAATGTTTTTGAACGAAGATGCCTTTTGCAATCACAGTAACTACCGCAACGAATCAAGTGTTGATCCGACTCATCCGGCACAATATTATCACAGAAGACTCGTCAAAGACACAAGAGTGAAAAAGTACTTCAACTTGAATTCCCTTTTACCGCAGTTGATTTATAGCATCTCATAAATCAATGTGAAACATGTTGCACAGCATTAGCTCCACTGTTGCCATCAGGTACTGTACCACCAGTTAGAGAATGCCATAAATCTGAACCCAAGGGACAGCCTGATTCCTGTCGCCATAGCACTTGCAAGTACTCGCGTATTTTGATACAGTACTTGGATGCGAGACTACACACATATATCAGCTGATAACAAGAAACAGTTTACTCGAGGAACAATCCTGAGATGGTGCACATTATTCATGGATGAATCCAACTCGGTAATAAGCTTCACGAAAAATGTTCACTCAACATCTTTAGAAGTAAACACAACATTAATGGAAGAAGAACACTCGGTTCTGAACAATTGTCAGAATAGGCTATCTCATTCTGGAAATTGTTCAGCGGAGTCACATTACAGAAAGCAAGCATTTAGTTTATCGATTCACAGTTACTCTTGGGCTTACCAGATTTTGTTCAGGTAAACGTAAGTCCACCAATATAAAAAATTAACAAAAAATTTTCAATGCTGTTAGATTTTTTTTTCTTTTGGCAAACATTCCGTGGTACCCGCGCGATTTTCCCCGAATTGAAATAACGTGACCCTTGAAATATACTGCATCGTGAAATTCCCGAAGCTTTTGTTTAAGCTAGATACTTGGAGTACGAGTGGTTTATGGTATGAGTGGCCAACCAAAGGAAGATTATCAGTATAGGCCGCATTTTAGCGGCCCATACAACCTCCTCTCCGACACATGGCAGGTCAAAAATGAGGATGCGGCCTATACAGTACTTGCGTTATTACGGCGATCCGGTCGCCAATGACCGAATCACACGCGCTATTTGTGTTTGTTTCGAGCTCTGAAGGCCGCATTGCCTGACTCGTACACATTCGCCGAAATCCGGATGCAAGGGGCGAAAAAGCGAAGGATACGGGCAACGATCGCACATTGGCCTAATTGGCCGTAATACGCACGACGCGCCGCCGATTAATGCGCATTCTCGGCTCGCGAGCCCTCAGACATTCATCGCTCCGGAAGTGTCGAGGAATCGCCAAGGACAGGAAATAAAAACTCGCGTGACGCGACCTGGCTCGGAAATTGGGGGTTGGGTGATTGACGTAGAAGCCGTGAGGGGCGTCCGAAGCCCCGGCGACGCCAAGGACTAGGACGGAAATGGGAGCTGTATTCTCGAGTTTGCTCCATCCCTGGGTACACCTTGGGATTCCTTACAATCTGTTCATTCACCACAGGGCTGTTCAATATGTGGTGCAAGTACAACTGCTGGTACGCGGACACCCCATGGGCTCGTATGCAAGATTGCGCAGGTACTAATAGTTGAACTTATCAACGCGTGAGTGGACAATTTGGAGGTTGGGCAAGGGTGCTTCGGAACTCATTTCCAGAAAACCTCATGGTCACAGAACTGGTGACTTATGAAATTGGAATTCAAAACATTGGACGTGACCCTTGAAATAATGTGAAAATATCAATACTATGTGAATCTTTCAAAATATTGAACTAACGCCCCCCCCTTTAATTAAAATATTGAATTCTCATCCCGACGTTTAATCGAGTCCAGCGCTTATTTACAACAGTTAAGACTACCAGAAAAGAGAGAAAGAAGCGAAAAAGGGGAAATAACAGGGAGAAAAATACGAAAAAACCCTTAGATTGCAACTTTTTCTTCAAAAATGAGACACGGCATGCTTTAAGAATTGATGATGGGAAAGGATTCTTCTTCAGCTCTTAAGACAGTATGGATGTACTGTAAATGATTTTTCAGCTCCAGATAATTCTCAGGATTCTTTTTAGCCCCCTCCTGTTTGATCCAGCTACTACAGTATTAGGGACTAGCAATTACCTCGTATTTGCATCAAGCTTTTCTAAGACCCTGCCTTTATGATTTTTCAGCTCCAGATAATTCTCAGGATTCTTTTTAGCCCCCTCCTGTTTGATCCAGCTACTACAGTATTAGGGACTAGCAATTACCTCGTATTTGCATCAAGCTTTTCTAAGACCCTGCCTTTATTAGAGAAAATACTGTACCCAGCAGCTTCTTCAAGCCATGCCATTGACGGTAATCTTACTAGGAATTATTATCCGCTGTGTAATTTTAAGAAATGGGCTTGATCGGGAGAAAATGCGGCGGTAAGGCTGCTTTTAATAAAATGGCGAGCTCTAAAACTTAATCTCTCCCCTTCCGGAAATTTCCAGGTTTCAGAAGCCGCCAAAAATCGGAAAATTTTTAGTTAGAAAACCGCGCTCACTTTTTTTTTCATACTCACAAGAAATCCTACTTCGCCTCACGCTGAACCGAGATTTCCATTCAAAATTACGTTTCTAGCGTTCAATTACAGTATTTACCGTATACAGTAAAATTCAAAAATTACGATGGGCGAACGAGTTGTTTTCCGCGAATGGTCTCATACTTGAGTTTATTACCTTCTAATTTGTGTTGAATAATTGCAGGATATCTGTAAATGAGGTGACCGACCAAGACATGATTCTCTAATGTTGATTCGCAATTGGAAGAAAAACACGAGATGAATAATCTCAAATTCAGTACACGACGAATCGAAGTTCGAATAAATCTGAATGTTCTGTTCAAAGATGCTATCAGAGAAATTCTCGTTGTAATTGCCTGAATTTCCATCGCGGCGACTAGGAAAAATGCTGGTGAAACCCATTTAATTTTCCGCGCGGAAATATGGCAGGATAGGACAAAAGTCAGAATTTCAAATATTTTCCAAAAACTGATCAGAAAACTCTTGAAGTACAGTTTTTTCAAACCATCAGCAAAGATTGTATTTTCTGGCCGGTGGTTTGAAACGCGAAAAAGAATAAAATTGATTTTCATTCAACAACTATGGCCATCCTATGCATTACCGTTAATGAGGTACGCGAAAATCGCAAGAAATAAATACTAGAGACCCACAGTTCAACAGAACTCAACTTACAAATTATTCCGGAAAGCAATGCAAGTTTTTCATCGGCGTTAAAAAAAAAAGTGAGCATATTAAGTTCAAGTGCATATAACCAATCCCCTTTAATATTATTCAGGTGCCATTCGACTATCAAGGAAACCTTGATGCACCGGCGGAAATTGAATGCATAGAATAGAAATTGTGTTGCGATCATCCTGCTGAATTTCTTATGCACTGGACATCAAAACCACCGCTTCTTTGATCACGCGAGACACGATCCAGTGAAAATTTAATGCACCTATCCCACCAGTCATTTTACCTCACGGCCGTCCGGAACGAAAGAACAAATTCTATCCAATTTCCAATCGTCCCGCGTCAACCATAAAAAAAAGGGAAGCAAGAAATAACGGCATATTGCAAAGCGAGGGAAGAAAGGGGGACTAAGGTAAATGGTTGCAAGCATGCCAAGGGGTTTGCGGTATGTCGGAGGGGTATGGTAGGCGAGCCGCGGGGCGACAATAGGAGAGGCAAAATGATACATGCATACTAGCCACGTGGGCAGTGACCGATGCATGCAGGGGGTCGGAGATGAAAGAATATCTCCACATCCCGTATATTAGACGGACCTTCTGGCTCACAAATACGATCTATCAATCATTGCCTGGGTGGCTTCCGATAAGCGGGCCACGAGCGGGCGATCACCGCGCCAAAGATAAGGTGGATCCCGCCGTGAATGAGTGGCGTTAATCCGCTCACCGGCTTCCCCATACCCCACGAAATTCGCACACGCCAACATTCCTGAGGAAAAAGTAATAATTTAATCAAAAAGTAAAAATTAAATCATTGAAAGTGGGGTAGTCTTTTGGATCGATTAAGTTCGCCAACGCGAGGAATGTTAATATTTAGATATATTCTGCCACGAATCGATGCGAAAGTACAACACGTTCAATGTCACGTTTAGCACATGGATGAAACGTGCCTGAACCCGGACAAACAGCGATTTTCAACCACCAGACATGGGACAAGGGAAAAGAAGTGCCGAAATCCACCCAACTACGTGTACACGACGAATCGAAGGTTCGCGAAGAATGTGGTACGAAGTGGGGAGTGCGACGCGTTCAGCCTCGGCGAGAATTTCTGAAAAATTTTGCAAGGCACGTTGCATTCTTTCTTCCACTACGTGGAAATATTGTACCAGAAAAGATGTCGTCGCACTTTCTTCGTGTGGATTAACTCGTACTTTTCATTTCTTTTTTATTTCGCAAGATTTTCGTCTGGATGGTCCTGGATGTTTCATTCTCTTCTGGTATTGCCTTACCAAAATCGCGACACGGTGAACGATCCTCGAATCCGTTCTACAACATGGGTGAGAGAATTTTCCGTTCAGTGAGCCTGCCTAATTTGCCACAGTATATAATTTAGAGCCCATCGTATTCGCATAGTGACAGCGAAATTTATCCATCAATACAGCGCCCGAACATTCAAATGATTTTTTGGAGATATAATTAAAAACTTAATTGTTACAATAGAAACGGGCAATTATTTCGTATCCATGAGCCCAGAAAAATTTCCTTACAGTATAAGAATTGGTTGCTTAGTGAAACAACGCTAATCGGGTGAAAAATATTTTCTTGAAGCAAAAGAAAAAAAGGAGTATTATGCTGAGAAACGTCGAATAAATGCGCTCGCTTACAATACAAATTGACAAACATTACTCATCTGGTTTCTATTTCTCTATCCTGTAAGAAGCTGAAAAAGAAAACATTTCTTACTTTAATACACTTTTCTATCACGTATGCTGACCATCCAGACGAAACGTGACGCTTAACGTTGTCCCATCATCCATCGATGGGACATCTTACACAGAAAAAAAAAAAAACATTTCGGTCAGGCTTACATTCATGGATTCATGAATTTTAAATTTAAAAGTCAGTAAAGAAGCACTAGCGCAAAAACTATTTTTTCCGAATTCAAAAAGCCTTGCTAAATTATTTGAAACTCGTAGTCTGTGTGGATATAAAATCTTCAGAAGTTGCGATTCAAGTCAAACTTGTTCCATGAATATCATTGCCCTCTTCATGCCAATCAGTTGGGGGCTCTGAATCTGGCAAAAAATCGATGCGACCCTTCAACACTGTAATGTCAATCGCCGAAAAGTAGGTCATACGCCATCTTATAAAGAAAAACTAAAATCCCGCGAGCTGCGGGCATGTCAGTGCCAAATGTATTCACTCGTGCATCTTATATTCAGTAAGAATAGGAGAAACCATGGAAAATTAAAAAGATTTGCCACTGGTATATAAAATGCATGCATTGTTGCGAAGCCGAAAACTCATCCTCGACTGTGAAATTATTTGCAGGCATCACAAGTAATGCCGTTCAAGGCGAGACCATTTTGGATGAGCTGCGATACCTGAACAAAGTTCGTCCGTCGGATCTGACAAGAAGGTGATTCGGAAATTTCCAAAGAATACGCACGATTTCTCGAAAAGCATGTGGACCAACATACAATTTGAACTGAAAAATTATCAAACCCAGCGATTAATTTCTCGGCGAGTAGAAAAAAATCCTTCACGAATTTAATAATTATGTTCCGTAAAATTTTCATAATAATGATTGGTTTCATTGAAATGATTGTGAATATTTCATGTAATGTTCCCCTTTTAACTTCAGAAAATATCAGCTTAAGCATGCTCATTAATTTCAACAGGTCCTTTCATGACAGTCTCTGTCCAGACTTTTGAAACTTGGGACTTCTGGAATTCTCAAGTTTCAGAAACCCTTTTCAATACAAGTCTTGCCAAAAGTTGAATAATGATGCAACTGTTCGCAAACAGATAGGCCTGATGAGTTTTCTGATACCGAACTCCATCAACTTTAGGAGCCAGTTTTCGAAATAAGATTCGCCGTCATTGCTCCCGAGCCCTTATAATTAATTTTGACGAAATTTATCCTCAATTGATTATCATCTAATATCGTTCGAAAAAAATTCATAATTCATCAGGTGAATTTTGAGGAACCCCTTAAGGGAAACACCACGAGAAAGAATTCGATTTACGAACGCACCATTGGGTTCGATTCGCAGGCAGCGCAACACCCAAGACGAATTCCTGAATAACGATTTCGACTTCGAGGACATTCAACTCGACTTTGACGCAGAAAAAATCAGGGTCATGGCCCTCATTGCAGAAAAACTATGGGAAGAGGACAGGAGAAAGGTGGAGAACTACAACTACAAGGGTAATAATGTGGACGACAGGACGAGGAACTGCATTGCAGACGCTGTCGACCACCACGACTACCTCTGCGAACAGACAACAAGTGTGGAATTTGTGGACACCGCGCCGCTGCTCTTCGACAAAGTGGAGGCTGCTGTCGTCCAGGGTGAATTGTGGCAGCCAGTGCAAAAGGTCATTTGTCAAGTCGGCTTGACGCGCGACGGCAAGGGCTTTTGTGTGCAGGTGAAGATTACTTAGCTAAACGAACACTGGGCCTCATAACAATCATCAATGTCTTGCAGCGACACAGTTTCCAGCGAATTCGAGTTCATGCCCACGAAGAGTTACAAATGAAGGAAGTTACCATCACTGTTGAGTCTGGCTGCTCCGTCATACCCCTGAACATTGTAAGACCTTTTTTTTTTAGCTATAGGTAAAAATTTAAATTGGGATTTATTTTGTCTGAATTTTCCATGATGATACAATCATGTGCCATGAACTACGGAAGACAAACTCTTGAGGATTTGTCTCTCATAACAGAAATAAAATTCTTCTATTGATTATTCTCAATTTAGGCCAAGAAAGAAAGTCATTTAAAAAAATTGACGTCAACTTCGTATAAGAATACATAGCATTTTCAACAGAATATCAATATTTTGAATCTTTAAAATTTAAAATTGGCACAAAGCATGCCTTTATCACAATAAGAGTTGACATTTGTGATCAAAAGTTTTGATTACAATGAATAAATGATGGTGTTCAAGACACAATTGTTTAAACATTGAGATTTCACAGTTTACAATAAGAACAATTTAACAAAAGCCAGCAATTGATAAAAATACCAAACCTACTTGTAACCTACTTGTTAAAGAAGTTAGACCACGTAACTATTTTGAATTCTGGTATCCATGATAACACTCATATACCTAAGTGTTCTCATGAAAACTGGAATGCAAAATTTCCATGTCAATTTCTGATGACAACATAAAATTTGGTTTGTGTAATAACACTTCAATTAGTAAAAATCGAACACAATAATAATATGTGATGGGGGGGGGGGGATTTTATTCAGCATGTTCTATGTTTAATTTTAAAAAATCCCCTAAAATCAAAGTGGTTATTCTCAAAGCAACCCATTTCTTCAAAGATTTTTTGCACTGATTATATAACTCCCTCAGAATATTTGTCTAGTCTGCAATTCACACTTTTCAGAAAGTTTGCATTGTAGGGTCAAAAATGGCTTCCAAATGAGCCTAATGCCTTGGATTAAAAAATTATTGTTACTAAGAGGGCTATGCTCAAGGCACACATTTTCAGCAAAATTCTGCTTTGAGCATTTCCCCCATAGACGCAATGTGGAAAAATTAGGGCATTGATGACTTGAATAGATGTATTTGTGTTTTGAACCTTTGGATTAAAATTGGAATTGCAGGGAATATGCTCAAAAATTCCTTATTCCAAGATTTTTTGCTGTGAGCATAACCTGCCTACTATCTACCCTTGCTAAAAATTTAAATTAAAACCTAATTTTAAAATTGTTTGTTTAGAGCACCCCCCCCCCCATAGGAGCAATGTTTTAATATATTTCAACCTGCAATTCAGACTTGAAAACAAAACTGAGTTTAAAACTATTTTTGAAAATAGTTTTAATCTTGAAGTTTTCAAAAAGTTAGATTATAGGTTTAATTTATCACTTGTACACATGTAAGAGGGCAATCCTCAAGGAGTGCAAAAAAAGAGATCCAAATGATTTTTAAGGACTTTTTTATAATTTATTGAAAAAATTGGAATAAATTAAATAAATACACATAGAAGTTAATGGGGAATCATAATTCATTATAAGAATATTTTGCACTAGGAATATAGCTTTGGAATAGAATATGTTTTTAGTACAAGATACCACTGGACAGTTTGAAATTTATTCAAAATGTTCTATTGATCATAATATTGAGAAATTGTCACAGTTTTCATCAGGACTCCAGTGTCATAAATCTTTGAAAAAATATTTGCCTTCAGGATTATATCAAATGGACACTAAGCAGCTGAAAAAAGATTCATCTCCATTCATACTCATTTCATTTTAATTCTTGAGAAAATGAAGTTATCAAATGTGAAGCAAATTTTATTTTGTTATGCTAAGTTTATATTGTGAATATAAAATTCAGGTTCTAAAATTACTCACACATCTTACAATCAATCAGGATGCTAAAAGAATGCCACTATACTGTTATCATGCCCTTAATGTACGACCCTAATTTCATGAAAGCCCCTGGTGGCCCAAAAGGACCGAGCGCACCTGCTCATTAATGCAGGACGGCGCAATCTCGTGCAACTCTGTTTCTTCTTAAAGGAGCGAATAATAAAAAGAGTCAAGCAGAATTTGGTGATCTTCATAAAAGTTGGTAAATCGAAGTTTCATATCGATTTACTGTAAAACCTATTTTGTCAGACAACAATACAGTGACAGAGTTGCAACTGGTGAAATTTGCCAAAAATAGCTTGAAAAAGATGTTAATGAACATACTCCCAAAATCAACGGATTTGCAAACATTACAAGTTCAGACAAATCTACAAATTTAATCTGAGGTATCAATGCCAAATATCTTGTAGCTATCTTCTAAAATTATTGGTTCAAAGTGTTCAGGAATGCTGGTGAAAGAAATTATAAATATGATGTTCATGCATCTCTCAAAATATTTTTTTCCTATCTGATATTGACAGTGTGAAAAAAAATTGCAAGGAATGCCAGACAAAGTGCGGTTCAGCTCAGATGACAAAATAAGAGCCAATTTTGACTCACGCATGTCAGATGAGATTTTACAAGGTAAGCACAGCTGTTATATACACATGAGGTGTCCAATTTCTGATGAAACATTTGAGTAAAACTAAGCAACAGACAATTCAGATTACCAAATCATTTTGAAAAATTGGTCAGATTGACTGAAGTTTTTAAAGTTATTCATGTTGAAGAGGGAAAATCATGTTTGAAGGAGAAAGAGCCTAGTTGGCATTTCAAAGTTGGGAACTTCTGGGAAAAGTATCCAATTCTTCCCTTCGCCTACATGCAGACATTGGGCACCTCTGGTACACTGTCATTTTCATTACTAAGAATTTTTAAACTCCAGATAGTGAGACACAGGAACTTGGACAATCACTTGACAAGTTGGCATCTGATGCTCCCTTGAATGCACCAAACCCAACTTTTGAAGTCAAAATGACACACGCTGAAGAGAATTTCAAAGTCCCAAGTTATCTAATTTCACTTGCAGAAAAACCTGACCAGGAACTGCATGTAGTCTTGGGATACATCCAAAATATTTTACAGACTCGAATGGAAAACTCATCAGGTTAGTAGCACACCCAAACTTCGAGCCCTTTTGTCCTTGAAAATCATGCATAAATTAAAAAAAAAATTCAAGAAAAATAACAGGATAACATTGGAAAAACAAAACTGGGAATAGAACTTTTACTTTTCTAAGGTTGGAAAACAGGTATTCAACTTTTTTATGAGAATGGAAAATAAACCAGGTGACATTGCAGAAACGGAGAAAACAAACATATCTGACACAACTCTGGCTGAATTTGTCACTGAGACAGCATTGAATACCACCAACATAATTTTGGCCTTTGATCTCAAAAATGAAAGTGAGCAGAACAATGTCAATTACACAATGGGGCAAAATGAAGGAGCAGCTAAGGCCATTACCAACTTGGCTGAGACTCCAGAAACAACACAAAAGGACAAAATCCAAGGTAATCCCAAGATAAATGTTTTAATTTAGAATTGGGTTTCCAAACACCCACAAAAACAACTGAAATTGATCAAAGAAGTTGAATGGACCCTGGTTATTCATAATAGTAACTGATTACAAATACTTATGAAAGATTCTTTCAATCTCCCAAATCAATCTGAATTTTGCATGCAATGATTCCACCCAGGAAAGAGCATTAGTAGGAAATTTACTACTGTCAGACACAATCGAATTAATAAACTAGTAAATTACTTAGAGACAAAAAAAGTACTTTCAGGTGGCTGAATGTAGGCCACAGTTATTTTCCCACTTGAAGGTATAAAGAATAAAAATGTGCCCACTGTGGATCCAGATGAGCTCATAAAAATATAAAAATCAACAGAATCTTTGCCAAAAAACTCAAAAATGTTTTTCAGTTATTGCATCATTTGTATGGAATGGGATGACTTCTCTCAGAGGGCATTAGGATGATTGAAAACTGAAATGGCACACATGGACAATTGAAATTAAGTTTTCCGCTGTAAAATATCAATTAAAATCAAGCCACAAATAAAAATGCAACTAAAATTTTCATAAAAATGACAAAATAATTGTCATTCTCATACAATCAAACCCCATCAAGACACCCCCAACAAAGCATCACCCTTGGAAACTGCCAAAATTTTGAATGAAAGAAACCTCCTCCATGTTAAATTCTATAGAAAACATCAATAAGATGCCAACAGACATCCACCAGCATTAGTGATGAAAAAAATGGCAGTTTCCTACTAGTTTTGTCTTCATTAAAATGCAAATGGGGTATGATCATAATTTCTGTCAAGGATCTTGTATTTGTAAAAAAAAATTATAATCATAATTTTGAAAAATTTGAACAATATGCTGACCTATAATCTAAAAAAATAATAAATTAAAATAGAGGCAGCAAAATTTATTTTCTGAAAGAGCAATCCATTGATCACAGCAAAATCTTTGGAAAATTACTGAATTTTCTTGAAAACCTTCATCTCTATGACTTTTGGAGGAAAATCAAGTATTTTTGATCAAACAATTTAAAAATTAGATATTTGATAAACTGCTAACCCCTTTAAAGTCAAATAATTTAAATATGAAATACTTGATGAACTGCCAACCCCTTTAAACTGCCAAAACTGCTCTGGAAAAATGATGGCATCTTATTGGGGTTTGACTGTAATTGTTTACTATTGTTGGTAGAAAAAACTGAAGTGACTTCATGGGATGAGCCTGAACCACAAATAACCACCCATGATAGAAGTACCATCAAAGCACAAGTGAAAAAGGAAGAAAGTTCAATGGATCTAAGCACTGCATATGAGAAGGAATCTCAAGATGTGTTCACAGTCACTGAGTTATCCAATGAACCTGCATCCACCAAGAGCAAAGGGGCTCGAATTAAAATAATGATGGATATGGTGCAGGATTTTTCTGAACTGATTGAAGCAGAAGGGATAACTTTTCCAGGTATGACTAAAACCTTGCATGAATGATCATAGACTGAATCACAAATTCTATGCGCCAGAAAATTCTTGAGAAACTTTGCAGAATTTTTCTATTCTACAACCTGCAGAAGCACTTGCATTGACCAGTTCCATGTCTTCACATCTTGATTCATTGCAATCAGCGTCAACAGCAAGTTCACTGCCTTCAGACTTTGATTCAAATGATGAAGTGATGGATAGTTTATTTGATGAAAATCATCAACATGCAGGTAAAGTGCTGCATACAACTTACCAAATGCTTTCAAAAATGTTACATGCTCACTAAATGAAGTATAAACTTCTGGTAACCATCCAAAATACACTACCAATGAACACCTGCATTGAAACTGAAACTTAATATCAAGGGAACAATTTTGCACCTTTTCAGGGGTTGATGACCAAATACACAGTATAAACTCCATGGAGCAGAGTTTGCAATCAACTGTCAATTCAAAAGCCTCAGATTTTGACTCAATAGCCAAACTGGAAAGTTTGTTCAAGGAAAGCAACAATCAACAAGGAGGTAAAGCACTTAAATTAGAATTCCAGAAATCTGCAGCATAACTTTAAGTAAATTGTACATAAAATTTCATCAGAGCATTCAAAATTTGAAGTATCCACTCTAAAATCACAGTATGGGATGTTGGAATAATGTTATCATTCCAATACCACATTATTATCGTCAAGCCTCTCCTGGAACAACTTTGTAAAAAAAATCCTCCCAAACTAGACAACTGGAGCAACCTTGTAGAGCCAAAAAAACCTTAAGTCCTGACATTGGGTAATATATAAATGTGAGGTTATTCCTGATCACAATATTCTGCAACTAATTTAATTTGTGACAAGATTATTCCCGTCTGACAAGGTTGATCCAGAAAATTTTATTCCAGCCACCCCATAGTACCACAGGATAAGTTCTGAGTTTGAATTTCGAAAATCCGCATTCATTTGCAGAGCTTAATGGAAGCCTCTATTTTTAAGGATTCATGGAACAAATTTCAACCACAATGATATCAAATGTGTTGCCTCCAGAACTGGATTCAATAGCAAAACTGGAAAGTTTTTTTGAGGAAAAAAAAGATTCAATAGAAGGTGAAGTACTGCATACAGCTTCCGAATTTTTGCAATATGATTTCAAAAGATTGGCCTATCACAATCAATTGCAACTCATGGCAAGAAAACACATCTCCCAACCATTTCATTGCAACATTCACATCAAAAGCAGTGGAAAAATAATTATAGTCTTTGGATTCAGCAGAAGAGCAGATCCTGATCACAAGCCACACTCAGCCATTACCTAAATCACCAGAAAACCTGAGGAGGCTTTGGCAGGATGAGGAACTTACAAGCAAGACTTCAACTATGGAACCCACAATTGATACTGCAGAAGACATCAAATCCTCAGAAGAACTGCAAACACTTCTGGTGAATGGTTACCAAAACCAAGGTGAATTGTGGAGTAAAATATACCAGTACACATGGAAGATAAAATCCAGCACTCATTCTCAGAGATTTAGCCTGGAACTTTGACCAGGATAAAGTAGGAACACATTTTCCAAGCATAAAAAGGATCTAACTTTATCTGCAATCCCAACAACTGAAATCCTCAAGGAACTAAGAAAGGAAATTGCTAGTACTGTATCAACAAAATACACCCTTAATAAGTGTTTGATGGATTCACCTCATCAAAGGAACTGAAGAGACTTAAAAAATGAATAATTCCACATCAAGGTTCTTCAGAATATTCTGCAATGCTTTTGTCTTCTTCAACTTCAAAAGATAGACATGCAGGAGATAATTTCATTGCAATGCTCCTTCTCTTCTGAAGTCAACCCAACACAAAAAAGCACATAGCTAAAATTTGGATGAAACAGACTAATGTTATTAAATATAAAATCTGCCATCAATTTTGATCTAAGAATCATGTGGATTCCTTTCTCATAATAATAAATCTTTGAATTGTTGAATAAAAATTCAGAGGAGCTATAACCACTGAAATGTATCTCAAGGTCAATCCTGAAAAATTTCCATTATGCCTACATGAAAAGTGAAAAAGAAATCCACATGTAGAAATTCCAAATATGAGTAAAAATCCTGAAAAACCATGGCAGGTTCTGAATACAATTATAAAAACAAAATATTGGAGGAGAAAATCAGACCAAATTGTTCTTCAGACCTACACTAAGACTTGATACAGGATCTGATTTATGCAGTTAAAACTGTCCCAAAACTCATTCATCCCCTTTTCAGCACTTGAAGCATCAAAATCTTTTGAGATTGGAGAGATGATTAAACTAAATTTGTCAACTTAAGTGCCAAGCACAACATTCAACCCAAGGCCTCCACTACCTGAAGTGTTACAGGAGTTTAAAATTCTTTTGGAGGAGGACACACATGCAAGGAAGGAAACATCTGAAATCAACAGTAAGCTTCCTGAACATCCACATCAGAAGAGTCAACTTTAACCTTTACATTGATCTGGTGTTCTATCAATTGATTTGACTCATTTGAGATTTGACAATGCCTCATTTCTATTTCCAGGCCATCAAGCCTCAAAACTGATGAAAAATGAAGGAACATCTTCAATTTTGGACCCTATAAAAATGATGAACATTTCAACACACCCCACTTCTAAATTACCTACAGTGATAGAAAGTAGGAGTTGGAATTTGGAGGCAGAAAATTATGCAAGCCAAGAATCAACAATGATAACCGGTTTAAGATTCCTGAAATTTCTGTACCATCATAGGAATTGAGAAAGCCCTTGGTGAAAAATTAAAACTAGCACAAAATACTGTGCAAAACTTCCTTTGTGATAACTTTCTTGCAAATTATTCCAGAGCATCAATCCTCAAACCCTGCCCTGGTATCAATTGAGATTTCCAGCACAACAAGAAGTCCAACTCATGAATTGAGAAATTTGTTACATGAACAGCAGATACTTAGGGAGGTGGAGGAAAAAACAACAAAGAATGCAGAAGAGGAAAATTACACAAGTCAAGAATCACCAATAGGAATCAATAGGAACACACTTCACAGAGTGGTTTCATTGGATGAACCAGGAGGGATTTTGGCAAGGAATGGCCAAGTTCAAGGTACAGTCAGCCCCCAATAAACCACCCCCTCACTTCCTGCCAAAATTTTGTCCCAAACAGATATCCTTAACCTTGAGAGGATTGGGAAACCCTGTTGAGTAGCCAACCATCATCCGCCAAAATATTTATCCCCCCCCCTCCAAACTGGATATTCCTATTTTTCTCCCTCTATAAACTACCAGTTTCTTCCTCCGTCCTGACTTTCTTTTCTCGAATATTGTTATCCCTTCCCAACCATCTTTTTCTCAATTTTATTTATTCAACTGCCAAGGCTTTCCTCCTTCCTAACTTGCTCTTCAGGGTTTTTGTGAATAAATATCTGGGATATTATTGTCTGCCTTCTGAAATTATAGGCAACATTTTTCTGGAAAATATAGAGCACAAAAATATCCCTCATGCAGAAACTGGTTCTACCCCCAAATAATCTCCAACACCAAGCAACTTTCTCTTCTTTGCTGCTTGGAGACATCTATTCTTTTCAAAATAGGAAACTAAGATTTCTTCTGTGTTTCACAAAATTCCATTGAAGTTTCTTAGGCTGGGTTAATTTAGCTAAATTGTTGAATGTTTTTTCAGGGCAATTTTAAAAAATTGACAAAAGAATTGTTTGGAATTTCTCAGGTATCTGTAAAAATCCCACGGATGAACAAAAAATATAAATACTGTATTGAAGCAGGCAATGGGCAAAAACTTGCAGGAACTTTCAGGATAATTTCAGCACAGAATTGCATTGAAGATGGAAGAAACAGATCACAGGAAATTCAAGAACACATGCATTGATCTAGTTTGTAAGTTACAATATTACATTTCAAAGTACAGTGGTGACTTGCCTAATGACCAGCTTTTCTCCAGCACTTTCTTTGTCAAACCAAACCTTTGCAAGGGGGTAAAATTTTACCTCAAGAATTGATGTAGAATGCATTAATTGGTTCTTGAACAAAGAATCTGGCAGAAAAATGTAAAAAAATTGCAAGAATTTTCAAGAAACAAAGAAAAATCCTTGAGAACACTGCTATGGTTCATTCAAAAGCTTTTCTGTATTACATTCCCTTGCTCCCTTTCACAAATAATGCACACAGTTTATACAAATTCATAGCTACTTCATGGCTAAATGACACTGAGGAAAAGAGTAATTATTAGATTTAAATTCTTGTGGATGGCCCTTCTGCATGAGGTAAAAAGTAATGAAGAGTCATGTCTTGAAAGATACAAAAGTTGCAAAACTTTCATCATTATTTTTTGACACAGGAAAGAAAAAAGGCATTAAAATGAGACTTGATGCATTTTGGAAGACAATTTGGGCATCTAAACCCTTTCCTCCAATTTGAGCATCCTGTCAATAACTTGCTTGGAAGACAAGCAATTTTCTTGAGTAAAAAGTAGTATTCATCCTTTATTTTCTGAATATTTTTAAATGTACAGGTGCCTGGCAAACCTTTGCTATTGGGACAACATTTGTTAGGCAAGTCATTTTTTATTTTCCTTGCACTTGCTAGGTGTGTTGTTTGAAAGGCAAGGCATTCACTGGGCAAGACATCACAGTATCAGGATGGAATTTTTATTGTGGGGTAAATGTTTGAATGTAAATGGCTTTCCATCAATGATTTTTGCTAGTGAGAAAAAACATATTTATTGTACACTCTAATTTCCACAAAAACATTCATGCTAGCTTCTGTCCCATGCTCATACCCACCACAATATGCCTCTTTTTTGGGGACATCCAAAATTAATTTCGAATTGCTTTTTGCATAGAAATCATTATTCAACCTGAATAAACCTAAGCTATCAAAATTAACCTAGCCTAAAAAATGAAAGGATTTTCTCTTGAAGCATAGCATTTATTCATTTGTTTTCTCAATTTCAACATGTGTGACATGGAGGAGACAAATGCCAACTAAGGAGCAAAGAAAATAGTGGGACTAGAGGAGCTAGAGCAGGAGAGGGTAGAATCCACTTTTATTTTGGAAATTGGTTCATCTTGGTGAGCTTCCTGCTGAAGAGAAATATGTAAGCCAGGAAAAAACAATGCCAGTCTTTCAGGAAACACCTTGAGACATTTTGTCAGAAGATAAACTCCAGATGCTACAGGATGAAGATTATAGAAAGCAAAGAACAGTGAGACCCCCACATGAGGACACCTTGATCTGCAGACAATGTAACATAGGAACAATAATTTTCTGAGAAAAAATAATAAAGAAGGCCCAACATGAGGACACTGACTCAAAATAGGAACATTTTGTGATAAAACTGAAAATACATTTCAGGCCAAATTACAAGAAACAGATATTTCCAACCCTAAAATTAAACACCAATTAAAAATTATATAATGTAAGTCTATGGGAAAACAAGAATTGACTTAGGGACAATTCAACTTAGCGACACTCTTGATGCATCAATTATGTCTGCATCTTTGGGTCTCACTGTAGTCTTCAAATGAAAAATGCCTTTCTTCTCCCAGCAACCATTCATTCAATCAATATTTCCAGTTCAAGAAGAACAATGGGCTGAGAGTGAACTAATTCATGCAATCTCCACACACCTGCAATTATTGGACACAACTACAAGCATAACTACTGAGATACTGAATTTCTTAACTGGGACAAAGATGCTTTTGGAAGAAGATAACGAAAATAGGTCAAACACAGCAACAGGAATTAGTGGTGGTAGTCTTCAAAATTCCAAATCTATAAAGCTAAACTTTAACAATCTCAAATTATTCATAACAATCTCAAATTATTCATTTGATTCTAAAAAAAAAAAAAACAGGATATGGACCCTCAACTTCAACCAAAAAGGAAGGCACACCTCCCAGTCTTGGGTTTAAGGACATTTTTGAGGTAGCCACAAATCCTAAACTGGACTACAAATTGTTTTCAGAAGGTAGAAGTGCAAATTTGGAGGGGGAAGAACATGCAAGTCAATAATCAACCACAATCATGACCAGTAAGATACCCTGAAATGTTACATTTTTAGGAAACTTGAAGCGTCCCTAAGTCAAATTGTCCAGAAGTCAAGATGACCGCATGCACGGGTCTCACTGTACCTTAATTATTAGAAGGTAACACTGAGCAATCAGAGGAGGAACAAACAAGGCATGAATCAATAAGATGTTCACAAATGCAACAACATTAAAGAACAATTATTAACAAAAAGATGATTTAAAAATTAATAAGCATGTCCCCCAATCCATCTAGAAAAGAAAACCTCAACATCTGATGAGAATGAAAGAAAGCCTGAAAGCTTTGGGTCAACAGAAGTTTCCAGGATGATCAGTACCAACCATACTCTGCAACTACCTGAATTATTACAAGAGCTAGGGATACTCTGGAATGAAGAGAAACACACCACTGAAATATCAGCACAAGAAACTGCCAGTAAAATGCTAGAAGACATTCCATCAATCAAAGAACTGCAAATGCTTTTGGAGGAACATTATTCATTGCCAGGTGAATTTAATAATGAATTCAACAATGCAGAAAGAACTCATCTCATTATCTTCCTAGTGCAACACACCTCAATGCATTCTGAAGAGTCCACAGAAATGTTGAGGACATCTACACATATTCATTCAGAATTACAAGCATCACTGCAAGATGTGAGGGCGGATTTGGAGGAGGAGGTACAAACAAGGCTAGAATCAACAACAACCAACATTGGTAAGATTGCTGGAAATGTTTAATGATAGAGGGAATACAGGAGAATGTTGGTAGAAGATTATTACTAGAGATAAACTTTCAATTAATATTCACTTTTCCGATTCATTCTAGAGCAAGAAACCTCAACATCTGTTGAGAATGAAAGAAAGCCTGAAAGCTTTGGGTCAACAGAAGTTTTCAGGACAATCAGTACCAACCATACTCTGCAACTACCTGAATTATTACAAGAGCTGAGGATGCTCTGGAATGAAGAGAAACACACCACTGAAATATCAGCACAAGAAACTGCCAGTAAAATGCTAGAAGACATTCCATCAATCAAAGAACTGCAAATGCTTTTGGAGGAAAATTATTCATTGCCAGGTGATTTTTATAATGAATTGCACAATGCAGAAAGAACTCAGCCCATTATCTTCCTAGTGCAACACACCTCAATGCATTCAGAAGAGTACACAGAAGTGTTGAGGACATCTACACATATTCCTTCAGAATTACAAGCATCACTGGAAGATGTGAGGGCAGATTTGGGGGAGGAGGGACATACAAGGCTAGAATCAACAACAACCAACATTGGTAAAATTACTGGAAATGTTACATAATGAAGGGAATATGGGAAGATATTGGTAGAAGATTATTACTAGAGATACACTTTCAATTAATATTCACTTTTCCTATTCATTCTAGAGCAAGAAACCTCAACATCTGTTGAGAATGAAAGAAAGCCTGAAAGCTTTGGGTCAACAGAAGTTTTCAGGACAATCAGTACCAACCATACTCTGCAACTACCTGAATTATTACAAGAGCTGAGGATGCTCTGGAATGAAGAGAAACACACCACTGAAATATCAGCACAAGAAACTGCCAGTAAAGTGCTAGAAGACATTCCATCAATCAAAGAACTGCAAATGCTTTTGGAGGAAAATTATTCATTGCCAGGTGATTTTTATAATGAATTGCACAATGCAGAAAGAACTCAGCCCATTATCTTCCTAGTGCAACACACCTCAATGCATTCAGAAGAGTACACAGAAGTGTTGAGGACATCTACACATATTCCTTCAGAATTACAAGCATCACTGGAAGATGTGAGGGCAGATTTGGGGGAGGAGGGACATACAAGGCTAGAATCAACAACAACCAACATTGGTAAAATTACTGGAAATGTTACATAATGAAGGGAATATGGGAAGATATTGGTAGAAGATTATTACTAGAGATACACTTTCAATTAATATTCACTTTTCCTATTCATTCTAGAGCAAGAAACCTCAACATCTGTTGAGAATGAAAGAAAACCTGAAAGTTTCGGGTCAACAGAAGTTTCCAGGACAATCGGTACCAACCATACTCTGCAACTACCTGTATTATTACAAGAGCTGAGGATGCTCTGGAATGAAGAGAAACACACCACTGAAATATCAGCACAAGAAACTGCCAGTAAAATGCTAGAAGACATTCCATCAATCAAAGAACTGCGAATGCTTTTGGAGGAAAATTATTCATTGCCAGGTGAATTTTATAATGAATTGCACAATGCAGAAAGAACTCAGCCCATTATCTTCATAGTGCAACACACCTCAATGCATTCGGAAGAGTCCACAGAAGTGTTGAGGACATCTACACATATTCCTTCAGAATTACAAGCATCAAAGGAAAATGTGAGGGCAGATTTGGGGGAGGAGGGACATACGAGGCTAGAATCAACAACAACCAACATTGGTAAGATTACTGGAAATGTTACATAATAAAGGTACAGTAATACGGGAGGATATTGGTAGAAGATTACCACTAGAAAATTTTCAATTAACACTGTATTAACTTTTCCCATTCATTCTAGAGCAAGAAACCTCAACGTCTGTCAAAAATGAAAGAAAGCCTGAAAGCTTTGGGTCAACAGAAGTTACCAGGACTATCAGTACCAACCATACTCTGCAACTACCTGAATTATTACAAGAGCTGAGGATGCTCTGGAATGAAGAGAAACACATCACTGAAATATCAGCACAAGAAACTGCCAGTAAAATGCTAGAAGACATTCCATCAATCAAAGAACTGCAAATGCTTTTGGAGGAGAATCATTCATTGCCAGGTGAATTTCATAATGAATTCAACAATGAATTCAACGATGCAGAAAGAACTCAGCTCATTATCTTCCTAGTGCAACACACCTCAATGCATTCAGAAGAGTCCACAGAAGTGTTGAGGACATCTACACATATTCCTTCAGAATTACAAGCATCACTGGAAGATGTGAGCGCCGATTTGGGGGAGGAGGGACATACAAGGCTAGAATCAACAACAACCAACATTGGTAAAATTACTGGAAATGTTACATAATAAAGGGAATATGGGAGGATATTGGTAGAAGATTATTACTGGAGATACACTTATGATTAATATTCACTTTTCCTATTCATTCTAGAGCAAGAAACCTCAACATCTGTTGAGAATGAAAGAAAGCCTGAAAGCTTTGGGTCAACAGAAGTTTTCAGGACAATCAGTACCAACCATACTCTGCAACTACCTGAATTATTACAA